GTTTTTTTTTTTTTTTTTTTTCCCCCCCCCCCCCCCACCCAATTAGCAATCTGAGCAAGGTATGAATGTTAGAATTGATGCCTTTTATGAAATGTTCAATTTTTATTGAATAAGGTGATAAACTGCTTCAAATGCCTTGAAGGGAAAATTAATTATTTAAGTAATTAATGATTCAGAAAGATGGGTCTGTAATTATATTCTAAGTATACAAATAAGTCAACCAAAAGCCAAACCACTGCAAACAATCTAATTGTTACATGTAACCACATAAAGCATTAGAATATGTTTTACCTTAATTCCTGTGTATCCATACAGCCATTTGTCCAGAGCTGATTTCCTTCCAAACACCAGAAGGCTGGTTTATATTCAGATATGCTATTAGTGGATATATTAAAACTTTTATTTAGGTGATGCCAGGCTGCACTGCATGCCACCTGTTGGCAGTTCAATAAGAAATAATCTATTTAAATTCATATTTGGTTTTAAAACATCCTAAATAAATTATTGGTTATGATAGAAAAATGCAGATCTTGCTGCATGACCTTGGCAATAAAACAAAGCTTTATAGATTCCCAGGGTCTGTTCTAACTTGTGTTCACTTGAACTGGTGCTGAACAGGCTTCCTTTAAAGGCTAAATTAACTCTATTTCTGCTGGTTCTTTTCCTTTATCAGAAAGACTCATCTTTTTGCCTTATATTTGACTGTTACCTTTCAAATTGCTTACCTCTGATTTAGTCTTTTTGCCTTTTAAGCAATGACTCAAATGCTACAACACATTCAAATGCAGCTTCATTGAGTTTAAAGATTAATTTTTTCAAGTTGCAGCTCAATATATTTTGTTATTGGTCTGTAATATTAGTTTAGTTTAGTTTTGAGTTTTAAGAAAGCTTTTAATGGTCCAAGGACCGATACTAAAACTCTAGGAAAATATTAGCTAAGAAAGCTGCAATTAATTAAACAACTTGAATAGAATTTTCTTACCTTCAAGTCAGTTGTATTTGGATTTATCGTTTGTATTTCATTTGTCATAAGCACCAAGTGTATCCACAGCTTGACACTGCTCTGATGTTGTTCAACCCAAAGCCACCTATAAGAAATAAGCTTAATGGTGCAGTGAATTTAGAGAATCAGTTTTTGCTTCCAAGCTCCAGTATGGCAGGTGGAGTTTTGCTTTTCAGCTCCACGGGTAGAGAAGTAGCTGCTATTTGCACAAACACCACCTACTGGTTGTTCAAATTGGTCTATCAAGACTGGAAAGAGAAGCTTAAGGACATTCAAAAACAGAGCAGTGCATTAAGCTCTTATATCTCATTTAAAAGAAGAAAATAAAATGCATTTGACATGATAGCCATCACCTTTTAACTGGATTTCTTTTTATATTTGTGATCTGACTTCTTCCTGTAAAGTCATCACCTTTTAACTGGATTTCTTTTTATATTTGTGATCTGACTTCTTCCTGTAAAGTGTCACTCGTTGTTCTGTTTGATACAACATTCTGCAGCTGCTCACCTAAATTTGGCTATACAGCTGTATATATACCACAGTATTCATGTATATAACATTCCCATTTATATAACTATTCAAGATTTTCAGAAGTTCATTTTATATGTTCAAAATTAAAGTACAAGTAGCCAGGATGTTGCCTTTCCTTCATATTTACAAGAACTTGTTAAATTTCACTGAACATTGTTTTTCTTTTTTAAAGTAAGAGGGTCCGGTCATTTTTAAATGACCAAGAGATTTATTTAAACATAGCCACTATTGGAAGCACAAAGCAGAGAAAATGATCAGAAAGACCATTATTTTTACTGTAATGAAATGAGCATTATATTCATTAGATGTTTTTGTTGTCTGGAGAAGTCATAGTGTGCCTAAGTATCTGAAGGTTTTTCATGAAGATGTTGAAAACACATTTAGATATGAATAGGGCCCTACCTACATTGTGATTTGTCAGATTGTGTGGAAACCGTGAAATCCGGGGTTGCCTACAAAATCGGAGCGGGGGGCTTAATAACAATTTTTTTTTTTATTAAATCTTCCCCTCCCGGGCAAGTCTCCCACCCCACCCAGGAGCAGCGTTGTCTCTTAAGCTGTGGGATGTGCAGGCGTGCCTGGCAGCACAGCATGAGCGCACCACACAGCTTAGAGGGAACACTGCCCAGGAGGGGAAGGCACTGGCTGGCAAGGTGACACGAAGGGGGCAGAAGACAAGATGGCTATTGTCCCTCCTCCCCCCACCCCTGGGCCTATCTGCCAATCAGTGCTATGGTGTGGGGCTGGATGAAGGGCAGCCAGCAATCAAGATGGTGGCTGCCCTCTTGTCCTTCCTCGCCCCATTCAACAGTCTCTCTGGCAATCAGTGCCAAGGGCAAGGCCATTGCAAAATGCCTGTGAAATGGGCTTTTCATGCCAGGACAAAGCCACAAAAATGGCTTAGTCTGGCTGCAAGTTAAGTAGGCCCCTAGATATAAATGTAGGGTTTTATTTGCCAGTCACAGTATCAGCAATACTGATTAATCCAGAGGCATCTTATTGTTCAGACTTTCTATGTTTTAAAAAGGGTAAAAAACCAATTTTAGTTGCTCTTGAACGTGGTACGTTTTCTCTCATATTGTCATTTGCTGATAACCCATGTATGTTTTATAGTGAAACGATATCTTAACAACCCATGTTAAATGATACTCGTACTAGTATCGGAGTTACGGCTCCCCCTGACGTATCCCATCATTTCTGTAGTTGCTGAGAACTCACTTGATTGCAACTGATTTGTGCAGTAAAGTGTAAGAACGACATAGTTGAGCATTGGTGTTTTCCAAGAGGTTTGTTTCTCTTCTGTCATAGTTAACTATTTTGATTTTTCTAGACTTGTTTGATAGTATTTAAGAAGAAAATTCTATTTATTTCTTAAAATGGAGTCTTCATTGACTCTAGCTAATGTTGGCAAGCCAGTCAATTGACTGACTGGTCACGTGTTTTCAATTGACCAGTCAATTGACTGCATATTTTTGATCAGTCAAAGATCATAGCATTTTTACAACCTCCCCCCACACCTACTTTTTTTTATGGTTTTCTTGACAGAAATATGATATTTTTTGTATTGCTTTTTGACACATTTCTCAATGGACAATTTGGCCCGCATCAGCCTGATGCTGATTTTCTTATGGACAATTTGTGCTTTTTCTGTAGATTGTTTGGACCTGTTAGCAGTTTTTTTACATTTTTGACCAATATTTGACTGGTTAATTGACCAAATTTTATTTGATTGGTCAAATACCCAACCCTAACTCTAACTCTTGCGTACAAGTGGAGTTTCTGCCATCCCCACCTGATTTGACAGGCTTTACTTTCTTGTCTCCAGCTATCTGGTGCAGAAGGCAGGGTTTGTAAAGTAAGCAGAAACATTGGTGAACGTATGCGAAGGAGGGATCCCAGCAGTTCACCGCATCAGCCACCAACTGGGCAGCTTCTCCAGCAGGCTAGATAACTGGGAAGAGACCATCTGGGGCCTCCCAGAAATGTGCGAGATGGAAGAATCTGCTGAGAGAAGTGTGGAACAGCACTGGGAGTTGTGTCAAATGCACTACGCAGGGTTGCAATCAGGACGATGGTGGCAGAGGCTGATAAATTGTTCCCAGAGGAAAGAGGAGCAAACTGTAAAGTAACATTTGGTGTTAAACAGAAATATTTTCATATGCAGAAAAGTTGTCATTTGTAACAGCCAGTGTCCTGTATCTTTGAAATTAGCACAAAGTGGAAATCTGTAGAGAATATAAGGTAGACTGTTTATCTTCCTGATGTCATTGTGCAGTACTTAACCAGAGTAAATAGCTATTTTTGCGGAAGGTTGCTGCTGCTTCCCCAAATTCTTACTTTTTTTCCTCTTGCAAGAGATACTGTAACTTTTAACCATTGGGTGACATTCTTTCCATCTGGCTTCCTACACTTTTTCAACCCCAAAAAGTGTTTTTCTCCACTTCCTAACAAATGAAAACTTCTCAGCCTCTGTTCAAGTGGACAGCTGTGTTCCGTGCCTGACAGAAATATCAGAAAGCCAAGAATAGCATGTATTTTATGGAAAAAAACTTTTTACAGAACTATTGGCAAATGAATGCAATTCTCTTAGCATTTTCTTTTTAAAAATGAATGTTCTCAAACAGGAAGACCATCTGGACTTTTGCAATCTATTCTGGTGAAAAAACCCCACAAAACCTTATTTTTATTAAAATGTATGTTACAAAAACCGAATTCTAGTATCTCAAATTTTATAATATGGGCCTGACAATGCATGGAGGCCCCCATAACCTGTCATCTATCTTTCACATAGCAATCAAAATACAAAGTAAGAAAGGAAAACTTCTAAAAAAATATCACCCCTTTTTGTACAGTGTAGTTCAGCCTACTAATTCTTCACGGGATCCCCCATTTCCATTTCTTTGTGGAAGGTCCTACATAAAACCCACCAACACAACTAACACTAATTTATCCTAACATTTGGGTCCCAGTAGGAAGGTTAAGAAGTCAGGGTGCCATGAAGCTGAACATACCCTTTCCACTGAGAAGTCATTCTTGCAGGTCAGGTTTAGACTTAAGGGTGGGACTTGTAGGCAATTCTGCAGTGCATGTTATACCACTATATAGAAGAATTGTCTTTGCTTTGTTATTAGCTTCAGTTTTGTCTCTATTCCAACCGCTATCTTGCACACCCTTCCAGTTCAAGTTAAATGAAGTTTTCAGCTCAAGCCGTCTGACCTGTAAAAGTGCTTGGGTTGAAGCTAGGATGCTGCTGGTCAAGACCCCGTCATGTTGTGGGGATATTGCAATTTGAATTATAATTCATCTATTGCTAATCCAGTCTGTGCAGCACAGTGTGATCATTTTCACAAAAGCTAACTGTTGCAGAGAAGGTAAGCCTTTACTCTCCAGAGCTGCCATTCCCACACATTTCATTAACACTAAAATTCACACTTAAAAAAAGAACCGAAACCCTTAGCAACTAGAAGCCGGTATCTTTTGCAATTGACTTAACTATGAAATGCGTACATACTCTTCTAAGACCCAGGCTCACCCACAGCTCTCTGTGCTGCTGCACTGCCCTGAACCCTGGGACAGCCGGGGAAGTGACAGCTGGAGGAGGAAGGGGAAGCCTGGAGCTAGAGCAATGGGTGGGAGCAGTGGCTGGGCAGTAGCCGAGGGGCTGCAGTTTAATTCCACACAGCCCACGTGTTGGACAGATCTGATCTAACAAATGAGTCAGTCTTTTACTCTCCCTTTTCTCAGCTTGCACTGTAAGGTTGGGGCTGAGATTTTCAGTGTTCTGTTCTGCACTTGGCCATTAAAATGCTTCTTACCTAGATTGTTTTACATTTCTGCCTGGCTCTGTAATGACCTTTTTTACAGCCTTCTTTGGGTTGCCAATGCATTCAGAACAGCAGCAATACAAAGCTGTATGGGGAAATACAAGCACAAATTTGAAAGATAATATGGGCATCTTCCCAGTGCATAACACGGTCTCTCCCCCAGACACAGGTGACTGGGGCCCTTAGCAAGACTATGCAGCTCCCTGTAACTGCAAGTCATGTAATCCCACTCTGCAAATGGCAGAACTTTTTTTAATACATTCAAGTCAGTGACCCCGAAAATAGTCCACAGGTACTGGATTCTGGGTAGGTATTGTTATTTTTTTTGGTTCTTCCCGTTATTGTTCCCAGCAGTAGCTCTTGTTTTTGTCCAATTGCCTGCCATTTTTGTGGGGATGTAGTTATGGTTATTCCTGGTAGCTCTGTCATCCTGTTGCTCTTTCCCAGTACTTTGTCTCATAGGGGACCATAGGGGGCCTTCCCTTCAATCCAGCACTGTCTTCTACTTGAGCCGTTGGAACTTACTTCTTTCTCCAAAGGCTGCTCCCTTTACATGGATAAATAGGCTTAGCCCTTCCCTAATACTCAAGATTGTTTTTGCCACAAGAGAATTAAAACAAATCATGAAAATACTATGATCTCCAAGGCCAACAGGGAAGGGAAGGTGGAGAGAATGTTCTTAACGTGGATGTTTTAAAATTGTGGAATCATGCACCCCACCCTCTGGCAATACAGTATATCACAATTTCAGGAAGTTTTCCTGTATTTTACTGATATTGTCTTTGACCATTGGAATTAGGCAACAGTGTGTAATGTATGAATATCAGTAGCCTTGAAGGATTAAATTCCATGTGAAAATTCAGTTAAGAACCAAAATGTCTCTTTCTCCAGTTTTTAGCTTTGGTGAAGGTGCTTCTGTTTACTCCTATACAGGTATATTGAAGTTGTCACAAAAGCATCCTGTTTCCGACATTAAGTGGGCTTTTTTCAGAATTTTGATTTTCACTGGAACAATCCCACTGAAGTGGAGGGAACTAATTTATATAAATAACAACTTGATGGTGAGACCTTGAGGAAAAATTGGACCAAGGGACTATTTTCCTTCAGTTGTTACCAATTGTAAGATGTATCAGATGGATAGCTGTCCTTTATTTAAAATATACAAAATATCAGCACTCTGCAGGGCAACGGAATCACGAGATGCAGTTTCATAGTGCATCAGTGTCACCAAGATCAGGGCGGTTGTTGGTAGTGTCTGTTCTTTTGCATTTTGCTATGATTTCTGCTATTCCATTCTTCAATGGTTTATGAAGACAAAGTATGAATATCAAGCTAACACAGCTCTCAATAAATAATACGATCTCTGCAGCATTCATCATTAGCTCATTCTTGAAAGTTCCAATGCTTTCCTGTATCTTTAACATGGTCCTGTAGAGAATCATGACGTTGTAAAATAGACGGCATGAAAACATTGTTATGGTTATAACAAGCATTAATTTTATGTGACTATGCTTTCTTAAGTTTCTTGCTTCTGATTGTGCTGCTTTAATGAAGAATAGAATAAAACAGAGTAATTGGAGAATCAAAGGAATTCCAAATCCAAAGGTGAATTTAATAATCTCATAGTCTGGCCATGCAAATAATGGATCTACCTGGCAGTCTGTATTCACATGGTAATTGTCTGTGCCTAAAAGTGCCACCATTACCAGTGACATGCAGCAAGCACATGTTAGTATAAATCCAACACATAACAGAGGACTTTGAGTTGCTCTAGTCATCCAACTAGCCGTGGATGAAAATGGACTGAGTAAAGTGAGAAGCATCAAAATCAAAAGATACTGAGAATTGAAATAACTGACATTGAAAAAAAAAGATAGAACTCCACATCCTAAATGGGTTGCCTTTAGATAGCCAGGTCTCGGTATGACAGTAAATGAGAAAAAAATCATTGCAATATTGCTGATGGTGAAATCTAAAAGAAATATATTTAGGTTTTCTAAGATGCGATTCTGCGAAAAGTTCTTTATGAAGATGATGAGGATCAGTATGCCAGTTAATAAACCTGCTGGCACAAAAAAGGCAATATAACAGTGCATAAATCTTGATATGATGTTTTGAGAAGCTATGACGTCTTCAATGTCAGTGGAGGAGTCCCAGCTGTTGCTTGGATACCTTATCCATGTCATATTGTGAGAAATCATCCTCTTATTCAGAGCTAATATCCTGTTTTGTGAAGTTTTGAAAATGTAACCTAAAAAGAAAGTGAAACACATCTTTAGAAAGACAGTTGTTTTTCAAAACTATTTTCCATTGAAATGTAGTAGTCTTTTTTTCTATTTTGTAAGTATTACTTTTTTGTAACACATTTTTCACTTTTTAATGGGTTGCTTATGCAATTTAGTATTTGTAGCATGACAAATTTGAGCACTTTTTCTCTTATCTGAACTCTACTGTGTCTCTGTCCTATGTAGATACAGAGCTCCTGCAGCTCAGCTGTTGAGAAAGTGGACAGGATTCAGTCTGTTCGGGGCCCCAGTATGACTTATATTTTGGTGGGGATTTTTTTTTCAAGCAAGGAAGTTGGATCTGTGGCTACATAGAACCACGCTCTGTCCTCATCTGGCTAAAAGAGGATTTATGTGTTATGGGAATAGGGACAGTGCAGGCAAAATGATGTATATCCTACAGATATTAGGGCTGTGCAAAGCTTCGGGTGATGATTT